TCCTTTTCCCCTTTTTACGTAATTCTTCGTGACACTCTGAGTAAAAAAATTATTAGCTGATATTTCAAATTTTATTCACGATAGCATTGAAACATTATTCAGTATCATTACTGATATTGCTTTCAGCAATAGCTTTCAGCAGTAAAGAAAATATTGCATGATACGATTTCAAAAAATTTAAATTTATGCACCGATTGAATTGTAAAATATAGGATTTACGCATTTGTCACAAACAAAAAAAAAAAAACCGTGAAATATAGTTTCGAGAAAATAATCAAACTTTTTTTTTCAAATTTTTAACCGAAGTTCAATATTTAATTCATGTCAAGTAAAACAACGCAAATTTGACAAATATAACGATTGTTCGTATCTTTTCTTTGTGATTTATACATATCCATCTTCTGTTTCTATTAATTTGTTTACATTGTAACTTATAAACTAAAATGATCAAAATAAATGTATAATTTATATATTTTATATAACTATGTCATTTTACTTTCTACAGAATAAGTTATAATGTAAACAAATTATATATACATAAATAGCATACTTTTATGTATATTTAAATGATTAAAAAGAAAGAGAAATATTATTTATAATAAGATAAAGTGAGATAGTCTCAATTCCAAGGGATAACGACGGATGTTTAAATGGGGAAAAGTGTGGACGCTTAAGTGAGAATTACTGTATATAGTACAAGCCATGTTTTTCCTTATAATCAGATATTTGCATGAAAAATACGCGTAATATAAGTAATATGTTCAACATGGATTTATCACATGTAATATCATCAGAATTAAAACAACCGGATATTTAATAATTTTATTTTGATTAACAATTTATTTATGATGCAGCAACCGTAATGTACAATACGTTGCAAGTAGCTTTTCTGTATTTGTAACATTCAACGTTTATCGATGAATATTAACTTGTATGAAAGGGAACGTTCCATATCACAAAATAAAAAGGTTACCTTCACTCCAACAATACTGCATCATATAGCTCGACTGTTCTACATTTTCATCGCTTAATATGCTCGTAATTTTAGATATCTCATGCAAATTCCTTTTGTAATAATTTTCTTTTTATTTAAATGTAATAACTTTTTCGTTAAAATAACTTGTCGATATTTCAAACTGCTATAACTTTGTGAAAAAGAAATCCTGCAGCGATTATGGACTCATTTGGACTCATTTTCAAAGCTTAAAGCCTCTGATGATCTGGAATTCGTTTTCTTCAAAAACATGTTTTAATATCGTGTAGCGGATGGAAAAATGGGGATATTTTTCTTTCAGGAAAATTAGAAAATTTCAAATTTCTGCAAATCATCGAAACATTTTTTTTAATGACCAATTTCATGTTCCTAAAATTTAAATTTTTCCCCTTTACAAATACCTCTTAAAAATTGATCTACGATTTTTTTCGCTACTTTATTGAACTTTGAATGTTAGGATTAAGCGACTAAGTTAGAAATTTAAGAAATTCTAATACTTAATTTAATTTAATATAATCTTAATCCCAATATTTAATCATAATATAATCTATACAACGATTTATCGTGTAATTTATTTGTTATATGGTATTAGAATACGAGCACATTTTGTAGATATAGTCTGACAGTGATGATTCTTGCACGATGATAATTTTAATATAAGATTTTTTAACAAATAATTTATTAATATATTTAACAAAGCGATATTTTCTGATTGCAATTTTTAGCTTGAAGTTAATATAATATCTTCAATTTACAAATAAGAAACACAGAAATCTTCTTCAATTATGCACACACTAGAGACATTAAAATAAATGAGTTGTCTTTTGAAAGACACAGAAGTTAACAAAACATTTCAATTTAAAAAAAAGCCTCAAAAAGTTAAATATTTAAGTTTAACAGGTAACCAGTAAATCAGTAAAGAAAATCTTTATCATTAATTTATCATTTAATAGGTTTGGAAAAATGTTCTACATAAAAAATATAAAAATACACGATAAAATATACACGATGTCTATTGTTCTACAATTTGTTTACAATAAATAAACAATATGCAAATGATGCATGAAATTTATTTATTCTGATAAAATCGGCTGTGTAACTTAAAAGTTTTTTATTATCATTTCAAATGTTGTGTGTTGTTGAAATTTGGCATTAATTGTTCGATTTATTTTATACCACTTATTATTTTATTTCCGGTATCATTTAATAATTTTGTTTATCCGTTTTCATTTAATTTGATGAATCAAGTTTGATTCAAATTAATTCACTACTGTACCAACGTATAATTAAATAGAATAATTAGTACCAATGTGCATGTATTAGTTCTGACACTTGGAATTAAACAGTCTATTGATTACCTACGATAATTACATGAATATTTCCTGTTAAAGCGTACTAATTATATAATTTAATTAAAAGCATAATAAACAATAATTATTACAAACCTAAAAACTATATATATATATATACATATTTTAAAATTTTATTTTATTTGTATCTGATTGTATTGTAATCTTACAATTAATGTATATTGGAATCAAATAATTCGTCTGCAAATTCTATATTAAATTAATAACCGTTAGATAATTGGAATTATGTTTTTTTCACAGACAAACAAACTTTTAGTTATAATGATTTATATCTGATGTTATAATTCTTTGTGTCTTTTACGTCAATTTGACATGTTACAGAAAATGTAGGGAGACAGCCGTTCATATTTGAATTTATAAAAATTTTCATTCATTGTTGATGTTAGGACAGAACGCCAATTTGAATATTGCATTTAGTGCTTAGCTTGACATTGTAGATGGAAGAATCACCCACTGATATGGGATTAAATATACTTGAATGATTTGATGACTAATGTCCATTAATAAGATTGCAATTAATATTGACTGACTAAAAGCTTTGATTAATTGGACGCTAAATTAAAATCCTCAGTGCACCATTAGTGTGTGATGTTCCTGGGAAGGCGGTTGACAACAGAACGAATTTTCCAAGATTTTTCTGGGCATAATTTGTCAACAATAATCGAATCGTTTCTAGATTTTGTGAGGTCCTTCAGGATCTTGGTTTCATGGCACTGTAGAATGTCTTTATTTGAAATTTTATTGAAACTAATTGTGATCTAACTTAATAAGAACACACACAGTATGTTTCCAACAGTTAATAACAAGATTTGTTTTAATTATTTATGTCTCTGTTGCATTAACTGTTTTAGTGTATTAATTTGATCGAATTGAAGCATCGAGCAAAAGCGTACTAACCAGAATATATTATGAATTAATTGACGAGTGACGCGCAATTTAAAATAGACGAAAGTATAGAAGTTTCAGTGCGAAATTGATTTTATTATAATCTTTATAATTTACTTGATGTGAAAAGAAACGAATTCCTTAACATTTATATGATTAGCAACTTATCGAACTGATAATTAATGGTAAATTCACATTCAGACATGTTTGGCTTCCACGTTTGCTCTTATTGTCAGCGATCTAAGCAAGATTAATATAGAAACGCGGTACGCGACTCACGAAAACAATGTTAACAATACAATTTGGGAATTTCAATCTACTGTCATAGTACACAGGGTTTTCATTAAGATCGGCGAAAGCTCGATCTTTAGATGTTTTCTCAGGCAAAGTCCAATCTCTGTAGGCGAAATCCATCTGTCGTACACAGAGATGAAACATGTAGAGACAGAGAGTTAAAGAAAGGGTCGGGGCGGATAGAGGAAGAGGCAGTGTAAACCTTCTACTAAATTCAAAGGCGAGTTACCAGTGTCTACACACTGGATCGACCAGTTCCATTCACAAAGTAAAAGCCTTGGCACATAAAAGTCGTTTCGATCAATTCAACTTAGGCTATTGCATGCTGC